ATGGTAATCTCAACTAACTGCCGCCGCTGCTTGTGGGACATTGAATAAGGAAGACTGAGAAGAATCGATGTATTTGGATCACGGCGCTTGAGAAGAGTATTGAGAGTACCACGGAGTGTGCAAAAGACAAGCCCGCCTTCTCTGGGGAGAAGTAAGGCCAGCGTTCTCCTTGGAGGCAAGGATGGCCAGACTTGGGAGTGTTGACGAGGAGAGACCAGTCCCCGGAGAAGGGCTTCATGGATGGTACAACCCCGGGGCAGCGACGGAGAGGAAGGCTCTCGGGGAGACGAGCTGAGGCTGACAGTGCTGTGACACTGGGGCGGACATGGGAACAATTGCGAGGATGGTGCAGGACCCTGTGGGTCCTGGGCTGCTGTGCAGAGGTCGCTCAGGGTCAGATCTAACTCGATGGCACCTAACAACAGCAGATAGAAAACCCAAATGCTAGGCCCACTGACGCAGAGGTCAACACAACAGGGTCCTGGGGAGTGGGCGGACACGTGCACATAAACAGGTGACTTTCAAAAGAGTCCACGGCCCCGGAGGAGGACGGTGCTGCCAAGCATCTGATAGAGCATCAGCGAGCTCAGCGCTTTTGAATTGGCCGTTAAGTGGAACTTTCTAAACGGGGATTGTTCGTTACACATGCTCACCCCAGGACACATGAGTGGGCAGCTTTGTGTGCAGAAGACTAGCGCGTTGGGCACCTGAGGGAAGTGGCCTTTGATAAGGTCACGCTGTGTCCCTCAGAGCCTCAGTAGTCGGTGCCCACAGCACAGCAGTGGCACCTGTGCTTCTGCAGTGTTCCTTGGTGCCTGGTCACTGGGGGGCACTTGTACTCTGTCCTCCAGGGCCCGGCATCGAGTCCATGGCAGAGGGTGGGGTGGGGTCGGGTGGACTCTCATTCCCTCTTCCCCATCCCAGCCCAGTGGCCAGGGAGCCTCTTTGCCCATCTAATCCTCCCCAGATGAGCTGGTGCCTGCAACATTACCAAGAAACCATTCTTGGGAGATTTGGAACCGCAACAATAACCAGAAGGTAAATTGAGGAAGAGAGCCTCTGGAACGCTTCAGAAGTGTTTTACACACACACACACACACACACACACACACACACACACACACACGTTAAAGAGTGAATGCACGCAATTTCAAGTGTTCCGCAGTCCTTAAACCTAGCCATTAAAGAAGATACAGTGATGATAGACTCCCCATGG